GTTTTTTGTCTTTCATGTCTTACAGAGAACTCTGAAGGATCTGGATTCGGCAGCATTTCCGACCCCCTGTCTTTCTCAGCTATTAAGACAAAGCGCCTTCAGCCGGAGAAAACCCCTCTTCTGGCTCCAGTACTGGGGGAGAGACAAAGAAGAACTCCTCTTTAAGAGTATATTCTAATTGTGTATGTATGTGTATAATTGTGATGGATGTGGCCATTTTTTCTTGACTGGAACGCAGAGTTTTTGTTTATACCATGTTTCTTATATTATCACAGTTTATTGTCCCATTATTGCATCTTTACAGCTGTAAAAACAGAGAGATGTTGAGCATTTCATCAACATGAAAGGCTTTATTGAGCCTTTTTGACCCTATTGCTGCATGATCTTCTAATCTACTTAACCTTAGCAGTATCACTTGTTCAAATGTCATACAATAAAATGTTATTTCATAAAATGTTATGATGGTTTTGGCATATCTCTTTCCTCAGATAAAAGACCGTCTAGTAAACACATCACTTTCCTTGGCTGATGTTGCAAAACCCCTCCGGCTGCGCTTTGAGTTCCCGAGAGCTGGACCGCAAATATACTATTTAGTGTCAAACACATTTTTGGAGCAACCTCCGGGTTCATCTTGTGTTAGCCTGTCAAACCTATTTCTTCCTTTCTCTTATTTCTGTCTCTGTCTAGTTGCTCTCCCTTGTTAAAACTGAGGTAATACACAACAGACTGCCAAGGATATCTGCTTAAAATAAAGTTAGGCAAAATGAATAGCATCTGGATATAGCGCACATCTGGAAATCAAACGCAGGAGTTGCTGAAACCGCAAACCCTGCTCGGCTCCAGTGCTGCCGACTCACTGATGGAGCACTAAACAGGATGACTTTGACTTCTTCATAAACTGCCTCTGAGATTTGTTTCCTAGCTGATATGATTATTGTATAACAAGTCTCTCAGACACCAAGCCATACGTCTCTGAACAAAGCTTTGACAATGCATGATACAATGTTTGTTTTCTTCATGACTTTTGTTTTAAATGTTAAAGAAATAATTTGACATTTTATAGAGTTGGATACGAAGTTTGATACCACTGTCATGTTTGTGTGCTGCACATAAAAGTGGAGCTAATTAGCTTAGCTTAGCAAACAAACTGATAACATGAGGAAACGGCTAGCCTATCTGAAATTATGAGCAGCCGAGTAGGAAAAAAACAAATTTGAAGATTTGGGACATTTCTGAAAGCAACAATATCTCCCACCTGGTGAAAAGAATGTGAAAATGGCTCTATAACCGGCCAAATAAAATCCAATCCTAAACTATATTTAGCTCGTTTTAAAGGAGCTTTAAACCCCATGTTCATTTACTTCTTGACAAACTGTGAAAACTGTGTCACACAACAGAAGAAGCAAATGTAAGATGTTTATCTAAAGTGACATGTTTATCAGTGGTGAAACCCCCTCCAAACAGGAGGTTTTTGATTGGCTTAGACCGAGCCAGGCTAGCTGTATACTCTTTATGCCAAGCTTAGATCACAAACTGCTTCTTTTACCATACAGACATGAGAGTGGTTTCCATGTTCCGCCTATACTCTCAGCAAGAAAGTGAAACAAAAGGTTGTACTTTACGTTTAACTGTCATTAACAGAAATAGGATGGAGCTGTCCGTGTTGTTTTCGATAACTTATATTTTGTAAGCATTTTTTAAGTCTACTGTCTTTGATACTGTTGTGTCTGGGGCGTGTTTCATTATCATAAACAATGTTCAGGTGTGCTTTGTTGTTTAATTTGCAAGAGACCATGCTCAGCAGATCTGTGTTCATTATTGAAGAAAGATTAAAGTCACAACAACAAAGGGATTCATTTTGTAGAGTCACCACTTTATTGCACATAATTACATTAACACACAAACTGCACCGCAACCTCACAGCGTGGCGAGACTGTTTACAGGCAGAAGCCTTGCTGCTGCTCCTCCTCTTCCTCCTCTTTCATCCTTCTGTCTCTTCTCCTGCTCTTTGTCCTCTACGTGGGTGATCATGTAGTTAGGGCTACCAGGGACATCCAGAGGGAAGTTTAAAACATCTGATTCTACTGCAATCAACCAGGTATTTTGCACTTTTCTTTTTTTATCTTCAGCTCTGTTGAGAGCTGTCAGGTTGGCAGATAAAGAGATCACACGTGCTATTACGTCTACAGACAAATACAGAGCTGGCTTTTGCCATTTCAATTAGCTCATCAGAACGGGGAGATAAGTGTGGTTATGTATCATTGTCATATATTCCACTGGCCTCTTAATGCACCCTTTCATCTGTGCTTTGCCTGCCTGTTTCTGTCTTCCTCCTGATGTTCCCCCTCCTCCTCCTCTGTCTGTCTCTCTTCTCTTGTTTTTCCTGTCTACTGAACAGAGACATGTTGATATGAGGCCCGCTTGCACAGCCACAAGGGAACAAGTCTCTGGTGCTTTTGATCAGCTGCAAGATCAGACATGTCCACCGCTCCCCCGTGTACACTCCAGTGACTGATCATGCAGTATAATGGGCAGGCACAGACAACCAAAGATGCACACCCACACACATGTTCTCTCTGTAGATCGTATAACCATGAGTACACACACACAGAGGCATACATACAAACACACACGGTACAAGTGTTGGCTCTGCTCACAGTGGGGTGGCTTGTTTGCTGGGCACGAGGGAGTGAGAGAGAGATGGTGTGTGTGATTTACCCTTTCTTGCCCCCTTTTTTTGCCTCTGACAGTAAGATGGATGATTGCAATCACAGGAGCCATCAGTGAGACAGAGTGGAGGTCTATGGGGCAGTGAGACACAGCCATGGGAAACCAGCCGTCAGATTACTGCACCGCGCTGCCATGGGAACACTGCACTGTTTATTTGTCTGGGGGTTTGTTGTTTCATATGCATTTTCCTCTCTCTTTCACCTTCCCTCTGTGTGGCCTTTTGATGTGCAGAGCGAGGAAACTTCCTAATATAATGTGTGTAGGCTCTGTGAGGGAAACAGAGAAGGAGTGCTTTTTTGTTTCATACATAGTGTGCCCACTGTAAGTCAATATGTCTCTTCAAACCAGTACAAATGTGACTGATTTCATAGCGATTAGACTGGTCTCTTTGATCCCATGAGAGAATGAGAGGCAGACTTTTCACTCCCCAGTCAACTGATGTTTTTAAGAGAAACATCTGTTGCTGTACAAATGAGATTACTGTGTCTTTCGCCAGGGGCCATGTAGGTTATGAATGGCACTGTTACTGAGGAGGGGGTCTGGACAAGAGCTGAGAAGGATCTTTGTAATAAGCTGTAGCTGGTAGTTAATGGCTTTAAATCAAATTAAATTGCTTCAGATTCTGGGTATTTATCAGTGCTCACCATCAACTTGTTCAATGCAATCGCCACCGCAGGAACCTTTGAATCACCCTCTAACATTGATAAATCCAATATTTCACCATGTTGCCAAGCAACAACTCACCTCATCTTCTGTAAACTTGTCATCCTATGACACGGGGTGATATGTTATCCTGCAGGAGAGAAACAGGAAAGATAAATAACTGTTCCTATCTCTTTGACTTTGAATTCAATGTGATCTGTATTTTACTGACCATGACAATCTGCATCCTGATTTTATTTGAAGTTGTTATATCGTAATTGACAGTGGCCTGACTGATTAATTCCTGTGAGGGGCATCTTTAGCCACAAAGTAATTTATGTTGTTTAGGTGGAGACAGAAGAGCAACACACACTTCTTCTGCGCAGAAATATTGCACACTGCACTGACTTATGTTCAAGTGATACTTTATGTGTCATTAATGACTGTTCTTATTTGAATTGCCAAGTTTCTACTTTAATACAAACGCTATAGTTGAAATAACATTATGATACTGTATGTGTCGGTTTTCATGCACCAATTTCTTCAATCCAAGACAAGTCCTTTGGGAGACCTTGAAGCAATGCTTGACTTTAAACATGACTAGAACTAAGCATGAATAAATGATCAATTTTGCTCTAACCAAACTAAAAACAGTATAGTATTCAAGAAAAAATGTATTAAATGTAACTACTTAGAATAGATTTCCATGATGTGTTCATGCACACTTGAAAATACACAAGTATTTCTGTAAAGAAAAATAACAATCTCAAACTCCAAATCCAAAGATAAAGAAATAAAAAGCACACTTGCATCACAACACAACCTCGGTACTGGCTGAACTTTGACCTTTGTCCAAAATGTTAAAGGAATACAGCCAAGTTGAGCAGTCCTGAACAAGCACCCATCATCTCACCTTGCTCAACGTTACGTAACATTAATATGCCATTATATTACGATGGCATGCAATAGTTAATGGCAGGTCAATGAGGGCAAGTGCACAGCCTCTTAATCATGATGTGATTTCTCCTTGTTTTCTTTAATGTGTACAGATGAGCGCTTGAGGAACAACAACTGGAGCTCCCATTTCTGTCCAGACAACAGACGCAATGCCTAACATGATTCAATCTAAAGGCCTGACTCCTTAAATAAGGACAAGTAAAACAACCTTCGAGACATGTAGTGGATCTATTATGAAAGCATAAAGTGTGATTTAACTCCCAGTATAGATATGCCTATAACTCCCTCGTGTACATGAATAGGATTATGACAAAGATGAGGGGTCTGTCTGTTCTGGCCGTCTGAAAGCATTATTGCTGATAGACGTCAGCGGTTTCAACAGCTGTTGAGGCATCAGCTCATTATGAGGAGCAGCAGTGTTCGCTGCCCTTGTGCCTGCAGGAAATGTCTCATTTGACAGGCTAAAGTGTTAATTCTGTGTCAGGGCACTAACTCAGAGGTGTACATTTAAATGATCCACATCACAGCTTCTGAATTCTTCATCAAGTGACTCATAAAGCGCATGTTTTCTTCCTTCCTTTTCTCATTTTTGCAAGGTTTTCCTGCCTTATTGCTGTAGCCTAAGATATGACAATATATAAAGGATAGAACAAACATCAGCAAAATGAGCATGGCTGTGTAAATAGAAACGTTTAATGAAACAGTAGAAGATGTGTGTTCGTACAGCTGTCTTTCTCTCTAACAAGTCTACAAGAGGCATGAACAGCACTGAAAAAAAGGTTTGGGGTCTAACAACACCTTTAGGGTCTACAGTACATAACACATATAAAAAGTCTCCTTAAAAAAGATCCAAGGCATATTTCAGGGTTTATGCAGTATTAAAATGTCTTTTTTTTACATTGCAGTGTGTATATAAAATAAGCAATGTGTTGTGACTCATGCAGATCTTCATCAGGTTCATTGTCAGGTACTTGGATTATTATTAAAGGAGACTTGCATTTCATATTTTCAAGACCTTATTCCACCCATGTAATTAGCCCTTCGCAAGCTGGAATAAGCACAGTATGATCCAGCACCTATATGCCACAACAAAGACACAGCTGCATTTATACATATTGTCAACACCTTTAATAAGGTCATTCAGTCCAGCGCTGCAATGAAGCGGTCAATGATGTGCAGAAACAGAATGCTATTTTAGGGATGCTTGGCACAGGCATCGGCCATGTATGGTGATAAGCTAATAGCAAAGCAGATCCAAGATGATTAACATGGCTTTGTGCTAACCCCTCATAATGTACTTTGGAGATTGTCTCAATAATGCCTCACTGAATCAAATACTCACACCCTGAATACATTCATTATCTCAATCATACACTCGTTGAACATACTTGATTTTATAATATGAAATTATATTTTCTTGATATTATTTATGACCACTTTTAAGACAATGTGTTTCATTCAACCATTCAGGCCCTGATTTCCATTGCAATTCTGCGTAGAAGTTTGTGCCAAGATTGACAAATTGCATAAGAAAATTGTATCACCTTAATTATTAGTCAGTCTTGTAGCACCATATAACTAATAACATAACATTATTTACTGTGATAAACCAGCTTCTCAAAATCTGTCAAACAATATCATTATACAACATAACTGCATTTCAGTGTTATGATTGAAAGTGAAAGCTGTTGCCTATATTTAACTATACAATGTGCGAGTAAAAACCCATGAGACAAGTGGAAAATTAGCAATAGCTATACATTCTCTGTGCGGAAAATCAGTGTAAAACTCTTTAATGGAATTGTGTTAAATTGCATCATCCCTATCAAGAAAGACAATCATTCAAAAAGTTAAAATAAACAGTTTCCCAAACAATAATGGTTGCTGATAAATACAGGCATGTTGTAAACTTTGACAGCTACAGGTGGGCAGTGAATCCCACTGTTTCAGAGTCTCTCATGATTGTCACGAGTGGAACCATCGTGTCAGGTCTTGGACCGAGTCTGCCCTGCCTCTGGTCCTCCTCACCGCCCTGCAGACAGTGCAGTAGTGTTCGGCCCAGAAGGCGGGCTGGTGCAGGCTGTAGTCCCCTCTCCAGTCCAGGTGCCGCTTCAGCCGGGCCGGGTTCCGCCTCAGCATCAGCAGGTACCGGGCCAGCCCGCGCACTGTGGGGAAGTCGTCCACGTGAATGAAGGCCTCGGGGGGCAGAAAGCGCTCATAGTTCTGCCGGGACGGACCCAGCACCACCGGGACGGCACCGGCCCGCACCGCGTTCCACAGCTTCTCTGTGATGTAGTCGGTGTGCTGCGAGTTCTCCAGCGCCAGGTAGAACTGGTACCGACCGACCAGCCGCACCACGCTGCCGCCGCTGTCCTCCGGTAAAGGCCGGCCAGCTCGCCCGAACACATCCACCCGGATGTAGCGGCGGAGCTGGTGGTAGAGGGCCACGCGCGCATGGGACTCAGACCAGTTGCTGATGATCCAGGCCACGAGGCGGGGCCGGAGGAGGTGTGAGCGCGAGGGGGCGAGGAGCGGGTGCGCAAACCGGTCGTTGAGACCCTCGGTTTTGCTCCCCCGGGGGAGTAAATACCCGTACGGCAAGAAGATGTCTGAGTCTGTCCGGTAAGTCATGGTGAGGTTATAAACGCCCTCAAAGCGCCACAGCCCGGACGTGTGCGAGGGGGACTCGTAGTTCATCCATACCCACTTTTGTTCTAGTGGCCGCGGTTCCGGTGGCAGATCAGCGGTGCCGGTTGCAACATCCCGGTGATGGATGACCACCGCGTCAGCCTGCGGGTATACATGCACGTCGTCTGTGAGCGTGCACCCGCCGATCTGATAAAGAGCAGAGCAGTTCGGAAGTTTCCGGTACCGTCCAAACGGGTGCGTCCATATCAGGAGCGTTACCGCGTGTTTCTCCTCGGGGACAAACTGTTCCGGCTTGTACGGGTCCGGTAAGTACAGCAGACTGACCCCCAGGAGGAGCACAAAACCCGCGGTGGCCACACACACCGAGAAGCAGGTCTTTCTGAGAACTGGTCCAACACATTTCCGCTGCTGGGACAAACCTGAGCGCCTGTCTTCCCGGGGAGCTGCTCTCCAGTCAGCCCCAGCTCCCATCGACTTCAATGTACAGTTCCCATCAAAAACCTCTCACAACACGTAGTGCAATATCGCAGGAAATGTGGCCTGAGGACTGTAATAAAAGCTGTATGATGGCACACCTTTAAGTCGGATAAAAGTCATTGTCTCGAGATAAGAAGTTAACATGAGGTCAGATTACGGAGCTTAGACAAGCTTCTCCCTGCATTGTCGTGTATTGCCCTATCTGTCCTCTTCACTGGACAAAACCGAGTAAAACATTTGGACCAGTGCTCTATGTTGAAAACATTTCGACGTGGCAGCGTTAGTCTGGGGTTCAGTTACCGGTGAATGGGGCTTTTGTGCGACCTGTTGACGCTTGGTTGGCCTCCCAGGCACTTCCAGGTTGGGTAAACACTTGTCCTATGAAGTAAGCAAAGGTCATTTTGTAAAGTAGTCTATACAAGGAATATTTTAGCTTGTAAACAGAGGCATATAGGAGAAGTAGCTACTCAGATTATGTCCTTAGGTAAAAGTAGAAATACCAGAGTAGGCATAAAAGTCCTGCATTCAAAATGTTACTATTTTTTTTGGCAATTTTAGAATAATATATTATGTTTTGATTCTAATTATTGATGCATTAATATGTCTATCAAAGCTGGTAAAGGTGCAGCTTTGCATTGTTTAGCATTAATCTAAAGAACAAAATATATGAAATTGATGTAGTGGAGCAAAATGTATACTGTATGGTATTTGAATACTTAAGTAAAGTACATGTCTCTCAAAATTGTAATTAAGTACAGTACTTGAGTAGAAGTAATTTACTTTAGGTTACTGTTTGTTCAAAAGCATATTATTTGAGGTAAGGGGTCAAATCAGATTTAAAGTGATAGACAACACTCTTTTGTTAAACTAATCAACAAATTATACCTCAGATCTTATGGGTATACACTGCTGAAATATTTCTGTACTCAAGATGTCTAACAATGTTAGAGGACACTGAATCTTCTATGAATCCCCTTAAATGCTACACATTCCCCACTAGGTGTCTCCCTACACAAGCCCAAAGAGAAGTGTCCTGTGCAGCCTGTGTTGTATAGTGACATTAGGATTTTATCAAAACAAGCATGAGTAATTCGGCCAATGAATAAACATTTCAGCTCAAAATTAGGCAGGCAGCAGCAAGGCTTTAAAAATGTTTGTCTTGAATGATTTATTTATTAGACATTGGCCAGCATTGCAACACCCTCTAACTAGTCATCTTAATAAATGACTCAGTTTTAATTTAATGATCTAACCTAAACCTATACAACAACAACAGAAACTCAGATAGTGACATGTTTTCCTTCCTGAAAGAGGGCCAACTGTCCAGGTCGTCGTTATATGAACGCATTCTCATAAAAACTCATGAAAAAATGATGAGGTGGCTGGGTTGGAAATCCTACACTGTGTGTTGTGTCTGATCTCTGGTGGGCAGGAAAAACACGGCGTGACTGGGACAACATTATTCCTCCCCACAGACACACAGTATGTCATGAAGTCTGGGCGTGAGCGGAAAAAAATGGCAGGAGGAGTGGGAGGAGATGAAGCAAGAAGCATGTGTGTCTCCACTGGGTCCTCCTCCTTCCTGTTACATCCATTCACTTTTCTTCACCGTGGAGCAGGAAAAAAAATCTCTTTGTGTGTTTGTATACGTGTGTGTGTGTGTGTGTGTGTGTGTGACTTGTTATCCCCATAAGAGGTTTTGTATTCTTTCTGCATTATTTATCCTTCCTTTCATCTGAACAGTTCTATTTTCAGCCGATCATTTAAGTTCGTGCCCGGGGGTTGTCTTGAGCTGGGAAACTCAGCAATCTCATAAGTTATGGAGACATGGGGAGACTCAAGTATTATAAACACATGTATGTCCTTTCTCCGAAATAGCAGAGGTGGATGAGGTCAGGAAGTGACAAAGGAATGCGTTTTGTTTGTCTTCTTTCAGCTCGATTTTTGTTTATTTTAACCCTTTTTACAAGGTGGCACAAATCCATGCAAATGTTACTGGAAATGTTTCTTTGGTTGGTGATGTGGTGACATTTTGTTCATCTCAAATTACAGCTAGGGTAACATTTTTCATTTTTCGCATCTCTCTTGCTGAAAAATAACTTTATTTTGTCATCAAGCTCTTTCAGTTGTGGATCCAGACCTTGAATCTCCACTGAGGGATCGATATTGTGCATTTCTCTGTTCAAACATCACTGCAGAAACCAACCACATATGGGGCATCTCAGGTCATTTTATATGGACAAAGTCAGCCATTTTAAGGTGATGAAACTGCACTTTTTACAGGACAAATACATAAAAAAACGAACTACATATTTTGCTACTTTACACATTTCTTTGTACATTTTCCAAGCCCTTGTTTACTGCTACCTTCCTGTTTGTCAGAAGTAATACCACTGTGTATGTGTATTTGTGTGTATGTGTGTGAATCATACCAGCACAGGGAGAAGCATTCCGTTTTTGATGGGACCCCCAGGTCTTCACTCATCTTCCCTATTGATTTTCTCTTGCTTTCCTTTTTGCACTCCCAGGGGATGGGATGTCTCAATTGGTCCCGGCCGGTGAAAGAGAGTGTGAGCGATAGGCAAACAGATAGAAGATGAGGGACTAGAGAGAGAGAAAGAGGCAAGAGCAGGGGGGGGGGAAACGTAAAACATTAAGAGAAATAGAGGCAGGAGAGGCCTCGAGCTCGCTGATCACAGAGGCCCTGGCTGACCCCTGACCTTGATCATGACCTCTGAGGTTACCCCACAGGTCAGAGGTTGTGTGAAAGTGCCACTGCAGCGATTCACTTCACTGCTGGGTGATGATGATCTTATGCAGCCTCCCCAGCCTGTCTGACATGATCAGTGTTGCTCTTCGCCTGCAGCTCCCAAGGGCCACGCATCCATCTCTAATCCGGCCACACAAGGCCCGCTAAAAGCACCTTGCAGGCAGAGTCAATGAGCAGGAGGAGAAGGGACACAAACTGAGAAAAGTGGGAAAGCTAAAGGACAGAATGGCTGTTTTATTTTCTACCCTGTAGCACTGTGGGTATATAAGATCTAGTTTCATAATGGCACTGAGACAAAGCATGTGTGTTTATCTCCCCATGTTTAAACTAAATGTACATGAGATGATGAGGCTTTTAGGAGGCTAAATCTGTTGGGCCCCAACATGTTACCTGTTGTCCTTGTCAAGAACAATTTATGCTGTGTTTTTTCCCTCCTTTCTAATTTTAAAATAGAGTGTAATAAAAGATGAGTGAGGGAAAAAACCCCTTCCAAGTCATTCATGCCAGACATGCACAAGCCACTGTGGCAGAAAATTATAATTTGTAGGTGGATTGATAACTTGGAATCTTACTTGTTCCGACGTACCCCCTACCGCTTCAAAGTAATCCAGAGCCTAGTGAAGCTCCACTCAAATCCTTATGGAGATACTGTGTGCTCAGTGAGAGAAAAGTGCCTGGCAGGAGAAAATACACTGATTTATAATGTTCACAACAACGTCTTCATTAAAATAATGTATCAATATTTAAGTATTACTTGAAGGATACAATCAAATCAATCAAAAATATGGAGAAACAATGTAGTCGTAGCCTGACACATGATCTAACTAAAAGTCAATCATATCTTAGGTAATGTACCAATAGCTACATATTTAATTATCTCTGCAAAGAGAAAATGTGTTGTCTCTTGTGTGTATTACATATAGTTTGAGGATGAAGTCCATTTCATGTTTTATTGTTCATTGTATGATGATTCAAGGGTTGCACTTGAATAAAATGTACTCTGTTTCTGATGATTTCTTTGAATGGATGAAAATGAAAACCGTGAACTGTTTATAGGAAGGACATTCTTTGTTCTTTGTTTGCACTGAAATGTTTTATGAAGAAAGTTATATTCATGTTTCCCCACTGAGCAGGTTTCTTTTAAGCAGGGATCTTTGAAGTATGTGAATAAATAAAGTCACTTTATATATTTGAAACATTGAATCACTGTGTAATTTTATTTTTTGTATGAAAAAAGTTAAAACATGCAACATTTCTCAGGACAAATACTTTGCTTTTTGGAGTCACTTTTTATTATATGTTAGATAACATTTTGTAGAATACTTTTCATTTTATCAGTGCCATACACATATATACTGTGTTCCTTTAGTTGTGTGTTTCCTTTGTGTGACAGTAAGAGAAAACTATACAAACACATCATAATGGACACCGTGCAAAGCTACTAAACCTGTAGGGATTATCTCAGACCTGTATTTCTGGTTTGGTTTAATGATAGGTAGCATCACAAGTCATGCAGGCCAGGCCAAGGAAACCCTGATTAACATGGCGGAAAGGAAAATAAATGAGAGGATTAAACCCAGGATCCTCTGGTTCATGTGCAGTATTTTGTCTAAGAAGTATTTATAATACACTGAGTACTTACTTATGCTAATGAGCTCACTGAATAAGCTCACACATTAAAGATCATTTGTTCATTTTTTAAGATGATCACGATAGAGAAATAGTTCAAACAGAAACACAAATCTATCTATCACTTTTTTTTCATAAAGATTATTTTAAGGCAGCTGTTAGTTGTGATTGAAGTGCAACTCAGTACATTTTATTAAAAGGCATGTGACTAGGTGCCATGGTTAAACTGAAGCAAGGCTTTAATTCAGTGTATTATGTCTATAAATGAAGTATGAAATAATGAAAACACAATTGAGACTACAAATTAGTTGAGCACTGAGCACCATTCATACTGTTTTAAAAGGGAGACCAAAACAGCTTCAAATCAAATCAAGTAATGACCTGAAATTTGAGCTAATTTAAAACACAAAAAATGCCCACCTTTGTGCAGTGAAACAGACGTTATTATCTATGGCAAATTCTTGTGTTATTTTCAGTACATGCAATTAAAGTTCAATGGCAGTGAAGAAATGAGAATGATTGTAGCGGAAAATAAAGTTTTAAAATATTTATTTTAAAAGGCTGTAGCCTCTGGGGGGAAAAAAAGCCTAAGTGTAAATGCAGGCGTTGATTTTACCCAGGCCTCACGACACACTCGGCAAGTCACATTTGGGAACCCACAAATGCTAAAAATGAAAACAACATGTAGAACAGATGTGTTGCCCTGATAAACCTGAGCAGCTCGGCTCCGCTTTGCAGAGCAATTGGAGGCTAAATCGGAGGCATGATGTGTTTTAGGGTGAACAATCTGCACAGTTTGATGCAGGAATTTAGGGCACTCCATATACAGTGCAATTAGAAATTATTTGCATATCCACAAGCTGAATGGGGGCTGAGGACATGGTCAGCAGGAGTGAGGCCTCAGGAGCAGCCTGGGTTCAGTGTGTTGCTGAAGGTCACTTCAACAACAGATATGTATGCATGCTGACACTAACCACTGGGCTGCCCTGCTGCTGCAATGATCTGACTAGATTAACAACCATCTTATTTGAATAACTAATCTGATTAATATCTGTGGAGCAAAAATAATGCCTCAAAGCAGTATGTAAGGATGTCTTATTTATGATACAGTAAGACCATGAACTTTGAAATATCTTATCTACAGTGTAAGTCCACTCCATCCCCTGTTTTGTTGCATAGGCTATGAGTTTGTATAGATCCTTTATTATAATAAAGGATAATATAAAATACATGGATTATGAAATGTAAGATATTATGGATACTTTTTTTGTATTATTGATTAGATGTGAATGTTTTTGTTAACAATTTAGATGGACACTTTAATCCTAGATTATATTTAGTTTACAGTCATATTTAACCATTCCTTTTAAATTGCAATTGTCCTTCATACACTTCCACAATGGAACAAACATAACATAATTTCAATGGGATCAGTAAAACAGCTACAAAACACAAACAAAGTATTCATACACTAGATTTAAATGGTGTTCCTAAATTATGTAGGCTAGCTGTTATGGTATAAATGAGCAGATTCAAAAAAATCCAAGTGTATGAAACAGAAATCAACTCTTACCGATTTTGGAGGAGTAATATGATTATTGGTGAGATAAATGATAACATTGTCTAAATGATCATCTTGCACAGCTCCACACAGCTCAAATAAATCATTGCTCCTGCATGCCCTCCTGGTGTGTTTCTTTCTTTTTAGATATGGCTTCCAAATAGCCTCCTGGCATTATTTTTGGTATGATCTTTGCTCTCCATAAAAAACATAATGATCACTTAAGTTACAACACCAAACATTGACTCATCCGGCTCTCACAATTTCGTGTATTTCAAGGTAATAAAATGACGAGTAATTTAACGTTCGCTCTGTTATTTACCTGTAATATCTGGATGTTGATAAAAAGCTATTTAAGCAATTATAATGGCGTTATTAAGGCAACACTGCTGTGAGCTGACTCCGTTCCGTAAACAGGCTGATACCCGGATGGAGGTGGATGTGATCCGGTCCGGGTGTTGCGGCCGCCCGGTCCTCTCCACTGAACTCCAACCCCCGCGCTCTCTATCAGCATCTCATTCCTGTCTCAATATGTCTCAAGATGGCGGCCAATGCAGGATCGATGTTTCAATATTGGAAGCGCTTTGACTTACAACAACTACAGGTCAGTACAACCTCTGTTTTAACCGTCTCTCCACTATTCTCTTCGGACGCTTTGCCTCTCTCGGCCGCTGTGTTTTGTGTTTTTTCCGCGGTCGCCTCGTAGGTGTTTCGGAAGAGAATTCAAGACCTCTTCCTCACATTGATGAAAGTGGCTCTCTCGCTGATCAGAAATTGATCCTCTTTGTTCAATTCAACATCGATCGGACACTGCAACTGGGCAAGCCGGGGCGACGCCGCGGGGATGCACCGAGATGAAAACAAAACGGCAGGGCTTTTACCGGAGAGCTTTCGGTTAGCTATCTTTATTGCGTGTTCTTCAACTTTTACCGGAGCGAGTAGCCGTAGTTAGCCCGACGCTTAGCCGCTTTAAGGTTGGATCATTTGGGGGAAAAATAAGTGCGACTCATTATACGGTGGCGCTGTGGTGACACCAGCCGTTGAGACGGGCAGACACACAGCACCGCTTCGCTCGTGTGTTTTTATGCTTTTCACTGACAAATTGGTAAGTTTAGTAACAGGCGAATGAAAACATTAGCAACCTTATCGGCTAACGGGTTTGAAGCAGTTTATACTGAAGTCCGTGATTATGGTTGATCAACTCGGCTTTTTCTCTCGCTTTCCCCTGACTGCAATTATACACTGAGGTTTTTTTTTTTTTACAGACATTGCCACGTCTGTTGTAGTGGACGGGACGGGACAGTGTTTGTTGATGCGATGCAATTAAATGAAACGATAGTAGAAATATGAAAGATCGTGACCTTGTTAATTATGATGAACTCCAGAAATGTCCCCAGCCTCACGCACGCCACTTATCTCGGCGTGCACGGAGGAGGTCCACGGCACAGTGCAGGATATGAGGAAAATATTGGGCCTATTCAGTATGTGTGAATATAGCCTGTGTATGTTGGAGCCTGTTTGACCTATCACAAGACATGTAGACAATGGCACTGTTGTGTTTTCCCGTGGCATTTAACGTGCATTGCTGAATTTCAAATCACAATTTATGAATATTAGTAGACCAGTCGCCTTGGTAATTAACATAAGATTGCATTATGTAGGCTAGCCCAATTGTTCATACATAATTTTGTATATGGCACAGGCTTGGGATTTAAAACTTTTATTTAGGTCATGATGCCCCTATGACTGGGTAGACAAAAGGACAGTGAACAAGTCTTCCCAGCGGGCTTTGTGTTGCACTTATGCCACATCATCAAGGCTTCACTTCTCCTATTTATTTGATCCTGTTTGGTCCTCCTACTCGTGCCCCCTTGTTCATGCATTATGTAAAAAAATTGAGACTGCTTTCTCTTTTCTTTCCTCACTATCTATCTCCCACCCCCTTCCTGCCAGCCCCCCCTCACATCTTCCTCTCCCTCACTTCCCCCTCCCCTCCTTTTAATTTTTTTCCCCCTCTCACTCTTTTCTGGCCCTTCACCCTGCTGTCACCCATTTCGTCCCGTCTGAACTGGTGTGTGTGAATTTTTCCGAGATCGGTCTTTTTCGTAGATTGACTGCCAGCACGGACAGTGAAGGCACTGCCAGCAGCCAGGACATGAAAAATGCATCGCATACGTTTGTGATAAGGCCCTGGGTAATTATGGCAAAGGCCCCTATCACAAGCGATTAGTCAGGACAGTGAATCTGAGCGTGTGCAAAAAGCCTGGCGGTTGGCAGGCCTGTCTGCAGGATAGGAATCAGTCGGAGCTTGTGTGTGTCTGTGTGTGTGCGCAGAACTGCTCAGAACATTCACTGTCTATTATTGATGACATCTTATTTACTCTCCCTCCCACTGAGAGGCTCCTAGGTCTTCTCTGAAGGAAAGCCTTCAGAGAAGACCTGTTTTTGTTATCTGTTTTCTGAGGATAATGCAGGGTTAGTATGATATGATCATGGTCTATGTATGGCCTTGTCAGCCGATTGCTCTCTCAGTTGCGTCTTCCTTGTGATCCAATGGACATTGTAGATTCACAGTCTGTTCTTGTCTGTGTGCGAGGCACCAGCAAAGGAATGTTTTCTTTTTTTGTTCCGTTTGATGATGAAAATCCAACCCAACCTAAGATGTCAGTAGCTTTAAGCCATCCTAGTATCTACTCCTCAGGCTCCAACTGCTGATGTTCATTAAAATCCTATTTGATCAGTGTGTCCCATTCCCTGTGTGAGAAACTAGCTAGGTGGTTGTTACAGGACAGAGAGTGCTTTGAAACAGCACAGCGAGCTGTTAACTTGTCTTTTCTGCATGCTTTTTTTCCTGCTCCTTTCACCCCCCCCGCCCCACCACCACTACAAACACAAATGGGGTGCAACAGTGATGCTTTTAGCAAGGTCTCGCACACTTGCAAAATGGATCAGTGATTCAGAGATGATGGCAGTGTGACAGTGAATTACAGATGGAGGAGGTTTTAACGTCTGTAATCCCTGTCCGTCCATTACAGAGTTGAGTTTCTTTAGAGGGGATCATCACTCTTCTCTCCTGTTGTTATTTTTTCTTTTTTTCTCATTTTTTTCCCTCTTCTTTTTGACCCAGTCAAGCAGTTTGCTGGAACATTGTGTTTCTACTTGAGAGACTGCGCTTCATTACAGGCAATCCTTAATAAGAAATGAGCGAATAGCTGAGCCTAAACCTATATTTTATATTTTCCGCGTAAGCTCCGAAAATTAAGAACAGACCTTTCTGCTGTACACAATTCCCAATTTAGGCCTAATAACTTACATCTCACCTCTTAACATTTCCTGGAACAAAGCACCCTAGAGCCATTTTGAAAAATAGTACAGCTAAACAGTGACTTGGGTGAAAACGGATCTAGAACTCGTTCCCGTTCAGCACCTCCTAATGGGTAAATTTAGGAAAGGGGTTTTGTAAGCTGATCCCAGAGCTGTGGTCAGTGGCAACCTGAGTGGTTTAAATCTCTCAGTGTCCGGCCCGCTGTTGTCTGCAGGAGTTTTAGTGTTAATTTATGAGCCGGTTGTCTGAACTCACTGGTGGGATATTTTTACCCCTCTGTTGCTGCACAGGCTGGGGGAACATAGAGGAAGGGGCATCACGTCATGCTTTTACTGTAGCCAACCGCTTCTCTGCCCAGTGACAAAACCTGGCATTGGGACTGAGGTTTCACTGTGTGTTGGTGGGTGGTGAGCGACTAAGCATGAGCGACTATAAGCATGAGTCAGAGTGAAGGACGAGTGCATGTCAGGTCTTTGGTCTGCCCTCGGTCTACTTTGGTCATGGCTATGTCATCCCACTTTCTAAGACGCTCTAGTGTATCCTTCTGAGCGATACACTCCACAGGACTCAGAGGAATGTGCAGCCCTGGAAAAAAAAACTTCTCTTCATCTACCTTATCAGTGGCTAATTCTCACCGGAGGCCCATACTCCCCAAATCCTCAGCGATTTATCGCACGTCACACTCGGCTCAGTTTCTTCACCCTCTATCTGCTTTGAGTAGTGTCTACACTAGGCCCAGTTTATCTGATTTTACTACCAAAAGAAAAATGCATTTCACCATCTTGAGTTGATACTAGAACATTGAATTAAACCATTTTCTCTGTCGTAAAATACATTTTAACCAATGTCATTTGATGTTTGACCAAAAGATAAAAAGCACTTAACAGAAGTCTAAAAATAGGGCTATCCAAACAGATGGAGTCGGCAGCTCTTAATGCAGGCTTTATGCAAAAGTGTGTGACAAACGGACATGTTCCATATAAAACTTGAAGGTGTGGAAGTCTCTGCTCAGGATAAAAATATCACACAAATGTGTTTTTCTTTCAATAATTAGCAATTTTAGATTAGCAACACTAAACATTTATCCTGGGCTGGGTCTCAGATAAACGGTCTGTCATTAACAAGTTACAAATGAAGCAATGAAATACCTCAAACTTCTTTCCCTTGTCGTACGATTTAAAAAGTCTTAATAATCCCGTCTTTAATAATTATTCTCACTCGATTACTGTGAATGTGTATTTTTTATCCCAGAAAACAACTCTTTTACTTTTTGTTGTACTTACTCTTAGGTAGTTTCACTTTTAAAATGAATCATCGCAACACATTTTAATTGCAGAATTCCTTCACAGGCCTTTTGTGGACTTAACAAAATATGAGAGGGCCCATGTTGAGTTTCAGTGTCTGGCTTTTTGTATAAACACTTTTTCTGCAACTTTTAAACATACTAAACCATTTCAGTAATACCAATATTTCATACATATATTTCATTATCTTGTTTAAGCTATTCAACACTTTACATGCTACAGTGTACAGTTGCTCTACATTACCAGCTGGGATCAGTAACTTTAGAAACAAATTGTATTTGTTGTTGCTCATAATCGTCCAAAAATGTTGCTATATTTTTTTCTATTTGATCTCCACTAAATACTTAAAAAACACTTAAACACAATTACACAGACTCTCACCCAACAACCAGCAACAAAAGCACAGACGGCAGTTTCCAGAGACCTATTTTCAAGTGGCAGGCATTATTTACAGACCCACTTGGAGTCTCTCTCACCTACAGCATCATGGAGCTTCACGGTATCTCGTGACAGAAGCATCCATTATTCTGCTGCTCTGTATTCCAGCAGAGAAAGCCTGGGCTTCAGTGACTGGACACTTCAGGCTCACTTTGGAGAATACTGGCTGTTTCCACTTGTAAGTTTGAAGATGATGCCCACTTTATTTAAAAATCAACCGTAGACTTGAAACAGCGCCTCCAAGGCTGATGTAATCTTGTATAGTCTATTTCTCATCTTGTAATATTAAGCCTACGGATTTCAGTAAACAAAGATCTTGCCTTCCCAAGGGAAAAAGATGTCTGTTGTAATCTATAGTTGACTGGTAAAGTAAGAAGGTGCAGACCAGCACTGAGCTTAGCTTTGGTCTAAACAAACAACACACACTCTTTTCTGGTTGCTTTTGTGTTAATCGTTTTATTTTTCTTACACGTTTTCAACCGTTTCACCTTCATAATGGGGAAGTAATTTAAAATTCCAGCTTTTTATTAAAGAGTCGATAACTGTTGGTTTTCAGCGGTATGTGACCTACAAATAACTATTATACTACTACTATACAACTTTATTGGCCACACAGTGTAGTAAACAGTTTAATTGAAGCTGGAATGAAGGATTATTAGTATTATTGATTTATTTACGTGATAATTGAATAGTTGTTAAAAAATAATATATCCCCTCTAGCCTTCAATGACATCTACATTGCCCTTTTTTGTCCAACAAAAATCTAGAATATAAGAAAATCCTCACAACTGAGGACCTTAAACTTAATGACTGTACTGTAAACGGTCTAGAAAAACAATATTTGTCAACATTTCCAATTTATGTTATGTAATTTGAGTTAATTAATCTATCAGTAATAAATCATTCTTGCGTTTATTTTCCATACTACAGAGTCATTTTACACTATACATGAAGAACATGAGGATTAGATTTAAGTGAGGAAACCTAAGAAATGTGTGGTGAGAATAACTTTGAATAATGACAACTCTGGTGAAAAAT